GGGAGCTGCGGGGCGGTGAGGGGGGCTCGCCTCAGGGACGGGCCCGCCGGGGGCAGGGGGGGCAGTGGTTCCTGTTGCTTTTTATTTAAAGCCGCAATTAAAATTAACCTGGGAAGGCAATAATAACGCGTAAAATTAAGAAATATGTAAAAATATCTATATGTACTGCGGTATTATTATTTCTCGGCGGCGATTAGCGCTCACCGCGGGGAAGTCCTGCTGTCTGGAAATTGGCTTTGCCTCCTAGGAAACCTGAGGAAAATGCTGCCCTAGTTAGTGCTGCTGTAGCTCTTGGGAGAAGCTTGAAATTAAATAGATACAGGGTTTTCTTTCAAAATATGCTCTTGAATAAATTAGTTTGCATCCAGAAATGGCATCTGTTTTCCTTGGCTCAGATATTTCTCTAAAAGTGTTTAGGTATGCAGCTCACACTTAAACTGGTGCCTAATATCTGAGCAGTTTCAAAAATCAGTTTTGTGTTGTTTTAAATTAAAACAGAAATACTGGTTTGGTTTAAAATTTTAAATACAGAAATGCTGTGGGGTCAGTAGCCCTGGGAGAGGGAAAGGACGGGCACTTAGGCGTCAGATCTCATGAGGTGAAAAACAGTGTTTGGAAGAGCTAAGTGGCCTGGAGTTTAGTAACACATACCATCTAACCATAAACCTTCTCTTTTATATCTGAGGAAGAAGCTGAAAACACTGGACACATCTCTGTTTCTGTTGGAGGTAGGTTTTGAGGAGGAACCTGCAGCAATTTGGTCTACTTTTTTATGATGATTTTGGGACCCATACCTAGAATTTCTTCATTGGAAATTTCAGGCATTTCCCTTGGGCTGTGGCTGATGTACTGGAATAAACCTGGGCTAGTTACTACAGATACACTGAAGTATTAAACAAACCTCCTGTTCCTGTAGCCCCTCTGAACGCAGAAGACCTAATTTCTATAGTACTTCTGCCTAATTATCACAATACCGCTCAACAGCAGCACCAATGCAGATTTCAGATGGTCGGCTGGAAACACTCTAAGACTTAAATGACTATATCCCCATCCTTCCAAGGATAACACAAAACTGTTGTGTTTGACTTATGCTGTGCCATATTGTTCATTCTCGTACTCTTTGCTCAGTTAGTCATTTGCATAGTGTTTGGATTATGAAGGACAATGTGAAAAATCTTAATTTGATTCTCAAATCAGGAAAAGCAATTATAAATCTTTGATTTTTAAATAGTATTTTATGGTTGGAAATTATGCATGCCTTCTGTACATTGCTTGAAAGTGTATAAATATAAAAGCTTCGTTCAGCTGTTTCTCTTTTATAATTATAAAATGCATTAAAGTACAAATGTAGTTTTAAATCAAAGTTGTTCTCAAACTGTTTTTCATTGTTACATGCACTGGAAATACAAAATTAATTCGTGGCAGCTTATTAATCAATAATGTTTGCTCATGCAGGTCACTCGCTGATTTATCTCCAATTCACAGCTCATTAGAAGGTATGTAACTCTTCAGTGATGTTGTTATTTAACAGGTAAATTTTCGTGGTGCTGTTAATGACCTCTGGATTTAGTAACTCCAGACACAAGAAAGATTTCAGAGACGATTAACATAAACTTGGAAGTCTTTTTTCCATGGGTATTGCATACATTAGGTCATGTAATACCTAATAATAAATTTACCGATCTGTATTTTGGACTGTCCTCCTAGGGTGCCCATAGATTTCATACAGATAACAGAATCGGTGTCCAGCCATGTTTTCAGGTGTATATATATGCTCAGATATAAGTATCCCAGACTTTCTCATCCTCCTAGGTATAGGTAGTACCTCCTTAATCGATGCCATCAGCAGATTTCATCAGTGTACATTCCTGTTTTGCCTGTGGTTGTTAAATGCATGAGACAATATTGGAATAAACACTGATCCTTGTGGAACTCTGCCGGTGATGTCCTGGCAGCACAATATTTACCTTTTCAAGAGGTACATTGTGCTAAAAGTTGCTGAGAGCTGGTTCTATGCATAGAAATATTAGAAGAAAATATTTTGTATCCTAGTCCTAATTCCCAAAGGAGCTCTGCAGAAGTCTTCCTGCATAGAACAGTCTAAGGGATTACAATCTTCATCTTTTTTTCCTCATAATAAACTGTTATATCACTATTTTTCATCAGAAGGTGTGGAAGGAACTAGTCCTTGAAAATTAGATGTACAGCAAACATCTTTGGTGAAATTTAAAGGAACTGATCTCAGAGATGTGGAAAGGAGTTGTAGTTAATGATATGATAAAAAATTGTTTCCTTGCAAGTCTGTAAAATAGCAGAATGTCCTGAATATTCAAGGACTTTATTGGTTGTCTTCATTCTACACAAAATGTTACTTGACTATGGAAGACTTTTGCAAAATTAAGGGGGTTCAGTTTAAATTGTTTGAAGGATTTGAAAGTTTTGCCAAGAAGCTCAAATAACCTTTAAAATTTGAATGCTTCCTGAGCTTTGAATGCTTAATCTTTTTAAAACTAGCTTGTGCAATTATACAACCTTTACTTCAGTTTGAATTTTGAGCACAAGAAGACAGCTCCTGTGCTCCCACATGTAAGGCACTGAAGAATAGAGACCGGTTTTGAAAACTCATCACTAGAGTGATGGCAGAGGAGCCTGAATTTCACTGTGGAAGTCTCATCATGTACGCTTTGTCAAGCAGACTCACAAAGAATTTGAACTAGATATTTTTGTAATGCAATGACATCATCTTGTTCCCTGAGGTTTCCAGAAATCTTACTAGCTCTCTGTGTACAGCAGTGTGCTCATTTCTGTTAAGTCATTCTAAAGTGAGAGTAGTTCCACTGAAATGGTGTCATATAATTGCTTTAAAACTAGT